CAGCAATCAGGACGCTGGACGTGTATGAACAGACGGTTTCGCCGTCGATGTTATGAGGACATCTGCTGAGTTTATCTATTGCATTATGCTTTGTCTTAGTAGCTTACTGAGCTATTTTCTCTGCTATACTCTCTCTAGCAAAAATCTAGTAGGCTCTGAAACCCCCCAAGCCCGAAACTTACCAGAGGTCCCGAGCCAGGGTAGTTCCCACTTCAGGCTGGTGAGGCGAGACGCCTTACCCCTTCACTGGTTCCTTGTTGGGGCCATGCTACAAATGAGCAATTTTTAATTTAATGCTTATTAGGGTTTCATTACCATAAAATGGGGGCCATGTTAAAAATGATCATTTTTAATGATTATATTACGGTTTTATGATCATAAAAATGTAACATTGTATCCAACAAGGACCCAGTTCAAAGGTATAGGTACCTCAATCTGGGTTTGGACTATCGCAACTCGGACAATGCCGGCGACGCTGCTTCATCTGGGATTGGGCTTTCCGGCTCCCTGCGGATCAGAGGGTTTAAGGGGTTCTAGTTGCCTTGAAAACTAGGCCTCCTGACCCTTTCAACGGACATGGCCAGGGTGTGTTCTATTGCAAACCTCGACCCCAAAGAACCTACTCTTTTAAAGGACTTATATAAGGAAATCATAGTAAGGAACCCTAAAAAAAGGGAGTTTCTTTGGGGTCCAGGAATGCTTTATCATTGGCCAGCCCCATCGACAACGTGTATTTAGGCCATAGCCGGATCCAGAGGGAGGGTAGGTCATCCCTGTGAGGGAAAATGAAGTCTAAGGCGGACTTGAGGTCCCTACTAATTACTACCTGGAAAGCCAAGTTGCCCATAAATATATACAACCTTAACGGAATAAGGGGCAACAGTTACCCCAAATTATGGTAAACTGGCTCTCTAGGTAATTACCTTAAAGCCTACACCCTTAATACTCTGAACTCTGAATAGCTCAAGTCTTGGCCCCTGGACCCTATGGCAACCCTACACCCTCTAATACCCTATAACGGCCCTGAAGCCTGCAGCCTTTAAAGGAAGAGCCCCGGCCAAGGCGCCACTGCCTTTTCTTCGTGGGGCGTGAGGTCCTAGCGGCAGCTGTGTTTGAGCGATGATAGGGACACTTTGAGCCTTCTACGGTTTTGGGTTTACGGATGAGGGTTCTTCTGGCTCGAACAGAGTCCTGAGGTATGTCGGGAAATTCTCGGGACTGTAGAGGGACATCTATGTGAGAGGCTCCTTGTACCAGCAAACCCATAATCGACAAACCCTAAACCGTCCGATCCATACTCCGACAGCACAACGCAAGCGGACTGGCAGCTTCAAGCTATGCTGGTCCATTCCAAACACCCCTCCATGCTCAAAGCCCAACACGTCTTGGGCTACCCGTCCAGTCCCCGAACCCGGCTCCAAGACCTACCAGGATAGCATATTCCGAATCTTCATAGTAGAAGCGAGTAGGATAGGGAAATAGAGTATAGTAGATGATAGTGGACTATACCATAGCACAGCATACCTTAACATAACATAGTATGTAATTTAAGGTATTTAAGGTAAGGCGTACCATAACACAATTCGATGATAAAATCCTTTTGATTTGACATGTCACTATGCAGTACCATAGTGCCACATGGTAAAACAAACTATAACATATACTATCTTAATGCCAGACTAAAATGTAACATAAGATGATGCAACCATACAATACAATACAACACAATGAATACAACACAATACGATACAACACAATATGAAGTAGCATAGTGAGTTTGGTATACTATAATGCAAGTTAATAAGGTCAAAATAAACTCATCTAAGACTATCTAATATCTTAAAAATGCAGTAGAGCATCATGTAATATGGTATATCACCATACAGTAAAATACAATATCTTATAATACAGTATAGTACAACATCATACAACAGAATGTGGTATGCTGTGCTGAATTTTAGCTGATACTGAGCATAGCGCAATACAGGGCAACATAATATAAGTAAAACACAACATGGCATAACATGGGAAAACTATGACAAGAGCAGATCAGAAAATGTAAGCTCAGATGAGAGAAGAGATGTGGCAAGATGAGACAAGAAAGCGGGACGTAGTCTACTGGAATATAATACGACAGTATCTTGTAATGTGATATGATAGAGTATGATATAACCCCAAACCTCTGACTCTATG